TGGGTCAGGGACATGATGGGATTTTGTGTGTACTTAATGTATGACACAAAAGAAATTAAGAGATTATGAGAAGAAAAACAGCATCAGTGGCCTCCAGGTTATAGGTCAAATCTTACTACCAGTAATCTCTCACTGACTTGTTACAGTCACAGGGTCAAAATACATGTTTTCTCTGGTTTTCATTACCCATAATGAAACATTTGTGACTTCAAATCAACTGGGAGTAAATATTAGCAGGGAATAAAACCCATAAACTTATTTAAAAGACCCTTTGAATTACACATACATCTGCTGATTTTCTCTGGTCAAGACTATTCCTTCAATCAGCCAAGGGCCTTGGATCCTTCTTCTCTATGCTGCACATTAACACTTACCTGACAAGAGTGAGGCTTGCTGGTTGTTGAACACTTTCAGGTCCTCAGTGGATGACAATATTTAAATGAAAAGTTATTGAAGGTACCTGCAAAGCAATCACTTTGGAGGAAAACTCAGTAGTCTTGAAGATTTAGGGATCTTGTTTGGTAAGTATTTTTAAAAAGGTCTTTGAGTTGACTCTATCATGTGCCAGAACAGCAGACCCCACATCTTTGCCACAGGATTCACAAGACTCTCATAAAAAGTGTGAAATAACTGGAAAAACTATAACAGAGAAAAAAAAGATTCTATAGCAAACCATAAGACCTGACAATAAGCTGAGAATTATACTTTTGTTTCTTACCACTCACTATGAGAATATTAAAAATATTTAAAAGTGCCTTGATAATAGTGCAACTACTTGCAGAGAGATACAAATTTGCCCTATTTATGAACTTCTGAGTGGTCTGCTAAAGTCATTGAATATCACTGAACAGTAAAAGGTACCTTTCATCTAAGAGTTTCAAGACATGAGCATTTTATATTCCCTATTTCTTCAGTATTCAAGACTAATATTAGATATGAAAATTTACAAACTGAAATAGTTAAGTTGTAGTTACTTTAAAATGCAATCTCTCAAAATCTGCAAGTAATACATTAAATATTTCTTTCAAAGATTACATCTATAATCTAGTATGGAAGAAAAAATTACACAACGATGGTGTTAGGAAGGACATCTCCCAATATAGTTTAAAAAAAAATTATCTTACCTTTTCTATAATAGCAGTTGGGGAGATAGAAAACATAACTGTATAAATTTGTTGGATTATTGCAATGAAAATGTGGTCAGTCAGGACCAAAAGGTGAATTCTGCAACCTTCTCTCAGGTGAAAGTCTTATTCTATTTGGCCCTTAACTAAAAATAATTTGATTAACAACACATTAAAACCCCCAAAACTATATGAAGAACAATGTTGGTAGGTTTTTTTTCTAAATGTTCTCTGCTTAGAAGTTTGCCCAAGTGTGAAAATCACTTTTCAACACAGAAAACAGACCAAATCTCTAGATTTTTAACCATATCCCATTCTTTGGTTGAGATTAATTAATATGAATTAACCACAAGATGAATTAGTTTATATGATACATCTATTATACCAATGACATTTAAGTTTTAAAATCAGGAAATGAATTGACCTTGAACAGCATATGTACTCAAAATTTATAATTAAGAAGAATATTAATCATTTAATTTTATAAAATGAACAGCTGTTCTAGTTGATTGGAAACAGCTAAAAGCATAAAATATATTTTGTGAATGCGAAATTAAAAGTTAATTTTATTATAGAGTGCAATTTGCCAACTAGAAATAAATTCTTGAGATGTAAGCAATATATTTTTGTAATGCTCTACCCATACATCTGAAAGGTCATATGTATATTTAAATGCCATACTACTAAAGAGGTTTAATGATTTCAATTGAAAAGCTATCATAGGATTTAGCTATCTACAGATGAATATGAAACAGTTATGATGGATATACCCTCTTTTTCCAATGAACTATTTAAAAGCTTTATGGAGAAATAATGTTTCCTTAAGTACTTTTTTAATATTCTAAACTTTTACTTATCTTGTGTCCTAAGTCTCAATTTTCTGCCTTTTTTTTGGTGTGTGCTGTTCTCATAGATTAAGATTTTCATTATCATTTGATACCATGGTTTTCACTTATATGCATCTCTCTCTCATGACAAGTTTTTAACTAATCTTGACCATATGTATTTTTAACCTGTGCACTTTCATGCTATAATTTGGTCATTACACAGATATACAAGATATATAGGCTACCACATGCCACTGTTTTGGTTTTTTTTTAAATCAGACACCACCACTCCCTTGACATGGTGCTGGCACTGCCTTGGCGATGGTCTTTTGCTTAAAACCCGAATTACTTGCAGGCTCACACTTAAGTGAATGGTAAAACTTTCAGGATTTCAGTACAAGCTGTGTCTTGCAAAATGAAGAAGAACCTAAAATAGCCTGGCTAGACCACACATATATGCTGGGCAAATTCAGTCTGTCTTCCAACTGGAGAAAAATCTTTCCATAATGGTCCAGCTTAGAAATCATCACATCTACGATTACCAGGCTATTCTCTGCTAGTTACACCTGCTCTAAGAGGAGCAGTTCTCTAGTTCTTAGTCAGGCTAAACTCACAGCCGAAATCATCTAATACATTGCTTCAGCTCACGCTAATACTTCATCTTGATCTTGGCACTTACTTAGCAGTGAAAGGCCATTACCATGTGGCAATTATTCTATCTTGTAAGACACCTTTTGTACTCTGTTGTTTCTTCTGTACTGCCATCACAAAGGCACTTTCCACTGCTGTCCATTTTAAGTAGTTCCAATCCAAACAGGGAACTGAAAGACTATTTAGTGAAACAAACTCTCTTATAAAGACGTCCTAAGTTCTCTAACTCTACAGTCTTAATGTAACTTAATATCAAAGAAAGGAAGTAGGTTGTCACTGTATGCCATGAAACATTTTAAAAAGCAGAAACATTGTTATTCCTGATGAAATATTTAAATCCTACATCAGTAGCAAATGGGATGTGCTTTTGTCTCAAAGACTTTTTTGACTAAGGACTTTTGGATCAGTTCCATTAGTTATTTCCTGCCTTACTGTCGCTCAATCTGGAACACTAAAGGTATCTTCTACTTAATATTCCTCAATAACATGCTTCTAGAGCCTAAATCTTTGGCAAAGGAATGCTAACTAATGAAGCTAAACATATTTCTCACAAGGTTTTCTATAAAGGACAGATTATAGAAGATTCTTCAATAGTAAAGAAGATAACTGCTTGGTTATTAATTTAGTAAGTTGACCCTAAGAATATGGTGTGGGAAATTAATTTAGAATCGTAAGCATTAAAATATTTTTAAGGAGCTGTATCATGGTAACTGTCCATTAACTTCTCATTATTTCAGATATGAGGGTTCTTTTGGTATTATCTCATCTCATTATTCCCTGAGAGAATAGATTCTTGGCAGTATTTGACATACATACAAACTCATCAGTTTTACACATTCTGTCATCACAAACATTTATCAAGCTGTGTTTTTTCTTGATTCAGAAATCCATGGCAAAGAGTATCTCTATCAATACGGTTGTGCCAAAGCTTGTTTGACAACTGCCGCCAGAGGATCTCACCTGAAGCTGAATGGTTCCAGATCAGTCCTGCTGAAGTTTCAAAGGCACTTTTTATTTCACTGTCTCATCAGGTAATCAGAAAATTAAGTCGACTTTGTAAAAATATGAGGAACAAATAACATATTCTCTATGTTAAAATGCAAAGTTTGGCAAATTACTGATCAGGTTGCTCATTTGTTTTGCTATACAGATTTCAGTTTAAAAAAATAAATAGGGAACTCATTGCAGTAAAAAAGGTCATTATTTGAAAAGAAATATGCCTAAACTCATACTTACGTGATGCCTAGTGAGAGATAAGAAACCCTAAAAGCTGTCACCATCTAACAGGTACTTTTAAACACTTTTGGGCCAAGTATCTGCCCCTCTGCAAGACAGTGACTGCCACTTCATCCTACTAGCAGGGTAACAAATATCTCACCCTTATAGTCTGCAGTTTTATGGAATGTTAATATCTGGGAAGCATTTTTGGCTCTGCTGTGCCACAGACGACTTCAGGCCAGGAATGGCTGCTTATGACTGGCCCTGTGGCCTGGACCTCTCTAAGAACAGGCCACAAAGCACAAGATATGCATTGACATTGACTGCTGCCCACCTCTGCTCAGTCTGTATCCCAGTCTGCAGAACTTGACCTGTACATTCACTCCCAGTATTGGCACCACGCATGTCTCTTTTTCTCTCTCACCTTCATGCATAGGAAACAAAATACTGACAATAATTAAAAAAAACCCCAAACCCACCAACCAAAGCCAACAGGCAGGCCGGTCCGAAGCAGCTATGGGGATTTTAAAGGTGTTTACCATGAGCAGCTCTCAGGTCACAGAGCGCTGGGCTCGGCTCGGCTGCCACGATGGAGCCGGAGCCGGACCCGACCCGCCGCCCCAGCGGGAAATGGCGGGAAGGGGCCCGGGGGAGGATTAAACGAGACCGACGCGGCGGGACCGTCCCTGCTGACCCCGGTGTGAACGTGTTTATTTCACGCTGCGGTCGCGGGTCGCTTTACAGAAACATCTCATGCTGGTCCCTGCGAGGGGCCGAGGACGGAGGGAAACACGCGTATTCAAACGTAACTATTAAATAACCTGTACACAAAACTTCAGTCTTTTACCCTGAAAGCACGGAGGGCCGGGCCCTGGCGCGGCCACACCGACGCTGCCACCTCACCCCCGGGTGCCCATGAGCCTCGACTCCCGCGGCCGGGCCAGGCCGGCCCCGCTCTCTCCCCAGCGCCCGCGGCCTCCGCTCAGCCGCGCTCCGGGGCGGGACGGGCACTTGTCCCGGGACGGTCCCGGGGCCCTAGGAGCGGCCAGTCCCGGGCCTGAGGGTCCGCGGAGACCGCCCGCAGCCGAGGTCCTGCTCGCCGGGCCCGACGCGAGTCCGAGAACCGGCCGCCCTCCCCGCCGCCACGGCCGCCCTGCCCCCGGCGGCGGGGCACCCCCAGCCCGGGACCCGCCGCGGCTCCGCTCGGCTCGGCCCGCAGGGGCGGCGGCCGCCGGCGGTCCCGGGCCGATGCCGGCGGTCACACGTCGCGGCTGTCCTCCCGCTTGACGCCGTCCGCCGCCGCCTTCAGCTTCTTGTTCTGGTGTGTCTTGACGTGCTTGGCCAGGTGGTCGCTGCGCATGAAGCGCTTCCCGCACTCGGGGCAGACGAAGCGCTTCTCGCCCGTGTGAGTCCGCAGGTGCCGCTGCAGCTCGTCGGAGCGGGTGAAGCTCTTCCCGCAGAAGAGCCAGTTGCAGACGAAGGGCCGCTCGCCCGTGTGCCAGCGCAGGTGCGCCTTCAGGTGCGAGGTCTTGCCGTACACCTTTCCGCAGCCGGGGATGTGGCAGATGTGCTGTTTCTTCTTGCCCGGCTCCGCCTCCGGGGCGCTGCCCGCGGCCGACTGGCAGTTGGGGCAGCGGCAGCGGCGGCACCTCCTGGCCGTGGCCGCCAGGGGAGACTTGGTCTGCAGCAGGGCGGCGATCTGCGTCTGGTACTGGGCGAAGTCCGAGTGCCCCAGCACCAGGCTCCGCGGCAGCGTCGCGGCCGCGGGGAAGCGGTGGCCGCAGCCGCCCGGAGCACTGGCCTGCTGGATGCTCCACCAGGGGATGTCCTCGGGCGGCGGGTTGGGCGACAGCTGCCGGCAGGGCTGGGCGGGCGGCAGCAGGTTGGAGTACCCGGGCGGTAGGGCGGCCTGGGCGGCGTAGGGGACGTAGGCGGGCGGACAGCTGGACGGCAGGGCGGCCATGGAGGAGGGCAGCATCTTGACGGGGGAGAACTCATAAGGGTAGGAGGGGTCGGCCGGGGGGGTGAGGGGCAGTTCGTGCGACCCCCCGAAGGAGGGCTGCAGGTGGTTCTTCTGAGGGGTCAGTCCCAGGCTGGGATGCGGCGGCGGCAGCCCCCCTGGGGAGTGCGCCGGCATCTCGCCGCTCCACGGATGGAAGATCCTAGAGGGGGATCCCAGTGTCGGGTCGTAGGAGACCGGCAGGAAATCCGAGGGCGCTGCGCCCGGCTGTCCGATCCGACTACAGGTAGCGGCCAGAAGAGCCAGGGGCGAGTGTTTGGCCAAGTCTGGGGAGGCGCTGGGGGTGCGGTCCTGCGCAGGAACGGGAGGGATGGAAAGAGGGAAGAGAGCCCGTTACTCGCCGCCCGCCGCCACCGACCCGCGGGAAACTTCCCGCGCCGCTGCCCGTGCGCGGACGAGCTCGCCCCGCCGCTCCCGCATGGCCGGCAAACTTTCCGAAAACAACGCGCGCCCAGCGAGCAGGACGGGCCCGGCCCCCCCGCCCCGCCCAGAGACCGGTGCAGCCGGCCCCGCCACCGCTCCTGGGCCGAGGAAGCGGCTGCTGTGGGCAGGGGCCAGCCCCCGTGCCCCTCACCCTCCTTGCCACGGAGCACCGTCCGGAATTACTCCCGGGCTGCTGGTGGGAGAGGGAAGCTGCCGGCCCGAGGAGCCCGAGCCCGGCCTCCTCACTCCCGCGGAGGTCGCCACCTACCTCTGCGGGCCGCCCGCGGGGTGAAGCCCCAGGAGGGGTCACAACCGCGGGACACGGCGCCTCGTGAGCCGCACCGGGCGCGGGTACTGACCTGGAGGAAAGCCTGGAGGGAGTCGTTCCGGAGGACGGCCACCGCGGCCATGGCTACTGCGCCCGGGGCGAAGGGAAGGCGCCAGGGCACTGCTGAGGCATGAGGACGCCGAGGGGAAGACGAGAAGCTGCCCAGTTTCCTTCTCTCTCCCCCTCTTCTCTCCCGTTCCTTCTGATCTCTTCGCCTCCGTGCGCGTCCCACCCCCCCGCGCTGCGCGATCTCCGCGGACTGTCTGACTGCGCCAGGATCACCTCCAAGAATTTGATAAGGACTTTGCTGGGCCGCCAACCAGTCAGAGGGAAGATTTATGGCTTTGAAGTTTGCCGCTACCCAATCATCAAAGAATAGCGGCTCTTTCAGAAGCGAAAGCAAATCCTTTGAATCCACAAAGCTCCTATGGTGTGTTTGTTGGTCTGGATAAAAGAACTGATTATTAGGGGGGATGGGAAGGGAGGAGATAAAGGCGGGACAATTAATGAAGTAATCACTATGTGGGAAATGTATATACACAAATAATTGGATTTTCTTGATCAAAGGACCCCTTACCGCCTAGAGACCCTCGCCTTGGATGTGCAAGACACTGGATTCCCCCCTCCTTTTTTTCTTTTTTTTTTTTTTGGCAATTAAGGATTTGTGGCAGAACCCTAAAGTGACAACGTGTCTGTTATCGCTCGACAAATCTGCCTCCGGATCCCTCTGATAGTGTTTAATGACCCAAAGTAACAGAACACAGCGAGTTCACCTGATCGGGGCTGGTCGATCCCAGCCGTAAAACTTCCCTCGAGTAATTGTCGGTGGTTCCTCCCCGCTCCCTCCCTCCGCCCGCCCTTCCCCCGAGGCTGAGGGATATGCCCTCGATATGACTCCGCAAATAACTGCGCATTTTCTCCTCTAGTAGCGGGGTTTGTTTCGCTTCGCTCCGCCAGCACTGCCCCCTCGTTACCGGGAGCCCCCGCCTGGCGCGGGGCCAGGCCAGGCGCCCAGCCGGGCCCGGGGAGGGGCGGCGGGCTGCCACAGGCTGCAAGCGCTCCCGCAGACAGACACCGACAAACCGGGCAGCCGGGAAAACGAAGGGAAAAGTTTCCTCTTCCCTAGCGGCAGTCGGGTATGAAAGACGTAGTTCCTTTAAATGCAGACCGGAGTCTCTCCTGGCGGGCCTGCTGAGCCGGCCTGCCTGCGCCGGGGGCGAGTGCGGGTCGGGGGCTCCTCGGGAACACCGACGATGCTGCCTGGTCTCAGCCTCACTCGCTCGACCACCTCCTGCCACAAAGCCTAACTCGGCCCAAAGCGCTCTTGCTCCCTCACCTCGCACCTTTCGGCCTCTGTCTATATGTGTCTATGCGTGTGTGTATGAAGGATCCAACCTTCTTTGCGTTCGACCATGTGTGAGGCTATTGACCCTCTAACCAGCACCAGGCACATCTGGGTCGCAGCTTGCCGCCACCGCCGGCTGCTGTGCTCAGTGGGCCGCAGAGCTGGCGGGACCCCTCGCGCTGAGCCGCCCCGCGAAGGGCAGGCGGGGCCCCGCGCTCCTCCGCGGGCTCGCTCAGCTCCGCGCTCCGCCGGGGGCCCTGGAAACGCGCTCCTTTCCTCGCCGCTTCCCCATCTGCTCCGAGGCCAACCGAAACGCTGGCCTGCTTGGTCAAGTACCAAACAAGGACGTTCATCTCCGTCCTGAGAGGGTGGGGGTGCCCTTTCGGGCAGATGCCGGCTGGCTCTGGTCCTCCGGAGCTGTTTGCACAGGTAACTCGATCCTCCCCGCAGTCGCTGGGTTCAATTGTATTCGCACCGCCACTGAAGTCTCTTTAAACGCCAGCACACAGAGATCTTTATCTGCCTTTCCTGTGGAAACAATCACCGTCCGCTCAAAGACTTTCAAGACTTGTAGGGCTTGAATTAGATCGGTTTCTTTGAAGGGATTAAAGTGCCAAGTCCTCTCCCACGGCTCCATATTGAGTTCTAGGGAGAAGTAAAAGCTCGACCTCGTGTAACACTGATCCTCTACGCTGCAGCCTCATCAGGCTCTTGCCATTTGCCAGGTAACCGCTTCACCTGGTCGGCAACAGGGAGAGAAGGGCCCCGCACCCAGCGCTTTTACCAGGCACCAATGCACCCTCGCCGCCGCTGCAGGACCCCGCGGCCCGGCAGCAGCCCCCAGCAGGGCACGAGGCTTCCCATCTCCCTGCGAGGGTGCAGGACTCGCACGGTCCAGCACCTCCACCCACCGCACACAAACACCTCCCAGCACCGCCGGTGCGCGATCCTCCGGGGGCTGAGCCGCGTCCATACGGGACATGGCGGGAATCGGGGAACCACAGCGAGCCCCGGCCAGCAGCGCACACAGGCACAGCCTCGACCCTCGCCCGCAGCCGTCGGGTGGCCCGGGCTCCTTGGCCAAGCTCCAGCCGCGCCACTGGAGCCGCACCGGGGCAGGAGCGCACTCATTGTCCCCCCCCGTCCGAGCTGCAGCCAGGGCAGCCGGAGACGAGGAGGAATCCCAACGCGGGGAGCCCGACCCGGACCTCTGCTTTCTGAAGCAATAACCGCCGGACAAGCAAAACGGTGGAGCTCGCACTTGCGTTGTCCCTAAACTTCTGTATCCCCAAACTTATGCCAACCTCGAAGTCCTGCGAGATGCCCGATTTAACTCCTACCTCGATTTTTGTTAATTCGTTTTACCTAATAATTGCTAGGAGAATACTCCGAACAATGTTTCTAAACGAAATGAGAGTGGATAGGTAGCTCAGGAGACACTGAACACCCCCAGGTTCCCCTCAGTCTTTAAAATACGTTATTTCCCCAGATATTTCGATGAACCAAAACGATTTGTCACGTTACAAAAGAGTTAGTGGAAAGCTGGATAAGTTTCTATACAGAAGCCACAATACAAATGCCATAAATCTGCATCCAAGAAAGCACATTACTTAAAAATCGAGAATAAATTCTAATTTCTGGAAGAAACCAATGGGCTGAAAAATGAAACGCTGCAGTCATAATTTTCTGTACAAATAATTAGTGTTCAAACTCGGAGCATTTCAGTCTCCTGAAATGTATTCTTAATGAAGTGATGTTCAGAGCTGTCATTAAAAATGCAGGGCTGGAAGATCAAAGTACAATATTTATTTTAGAAATTTGTTTCAGTTATCAGGAGATACAGGTATCAAGGCCAAATGTCAATTCAGTTACACAAAGCACTATTTCCATGAGAAATGGGCTGCTGCGACATCCTACTGTAAAGCAAAGGGACACTAGAGATGAGTTGCAGCGCGGGAGGCGGCGCAGCGTCGGCCGTGGGTGGGGGGTGCTCCCGGCGGCGCAGCCAGAGGCCGGGGCAGCTCAGAGTGTGGCGCTGGCAGGCACATCCCGGCGGGGATTTCGCCTCTGCAGCCCCGCTTTGGCCCGCAGACGAAGGAGGCCGGTCCCTACCTGATGTAGGGGCTGGAGCGGCGCTCCGGCCCGCCGGGGCGGCAGCGGCAGCGCCGGGGGGGAGCACGGCGGCCCGGATGCAAGAGGAGCTGGAGCCTGAATTGCTCCAGCCACGGGGCTGAGGCGCAAGGGGCCCAGCTCGCATAGCCCTGCTGCCTCCACGGGTCCCTGCCTGCTACGGTGAGACCCCTACCACCCCCAGGGCCAGAGGGCTCAGGCTGGGTGGCTACTGTCAACTTAAACACAGCGGACATAAACCATGAGTCATCATCACCATTTTCACAGACATGTGTTGTCAAAATCAAGATCTTTTCAAATTCAGGTATCCCTGAGTACCACCATGTAGGGCTCTGTGGTTTGAATGCAGGTAGTAGAGAAAAAAAGACTTGGGAATAACAGCTACTTGTGTGCCAGTGGTCACTTCCATGGTTTCTGCTGTGCCTCGGCCTCCTGGGCCCTGAGCACCTCATCCTGGACCCCATCCCAGAGCCTATCCCAGTGATGGCTCACACTGCCACAGCCATGTCCTCTCATGATATCCACAGTCCCTCCAAAGACCTTCACAATCCCCTGCCATAAACTCCCCTGTCCCTCCTGTGATCCCCCCAGTCTCTCAGCTCTATCTTCCAGCATTGCCATGAATAACCTTGGAAGCCTGGATGGGCTCTGGCAACTTGCCTGCCCCCAACTCGGGGACTGGTTGCCTTCAAAGAAATACTGTTCTTTAGCAATTGTGACAAAGAATCAGAAATAGGATCATTTTTAAGTGAACAGTTGTATTAACACTTAGTCAAGCCTCCTGGTCAAGTTGCCCATGAGAGGTGGCAGAATTTAAACCTGAAAAAGCTTGTTCAAAAAGGCATTGTCTTCACACTATCCCTCATTCTGCCTGGTTTAAAGACTTATTAACAGAAACCACCTATCCACAACAGCAAGAAGTTTCACAAGAAGGTAAACTAACCTAGGTATACAGCTCCAAGCCAGTGTGGATACACTGCCAGCAGTTCTGAGTTATGTGCCATTCATTTTATTTTTATTTACTTCAGCATATTCACATTTTTACAGTAGGCAACATGACGGGCATAATAAGAGGAGTCACCAGTTCACAGAGTGCAATTTGAACATCAGTAGAGGAAGATAAAAGAAAGATTAAAAACTGCTATGGTGTCCCCTGCTTTTTTCTTTGCATAAAGGAAAAACACAAGACCCTAGACAAGATCAGCACATGTAAAGGCATATTTAGGATTTAAAGCCTTGCCTCAACATTTCCCAGTCTAGGTGTGGATTTCACAAAGATTAATAGAGGATTTCCCAAACTTCTGAAACTTGAGCTGCCCTTTAAGAAAAGTAGAACAAATTTTATGCCTCACAAAGTTTTACTGCCTGTAGTCAAAGGTTTAAATATCTTAATGTATTCATCAGCTCCTTCCTTGGCTGGCCCTTTGTGACTCCTCCTGTCTTAGGGAACATTGGTGAACATTTTTGGATATACTTCCTTCCCTTGCTTCCATACTCTAAAATAAAGAGTCAGACTCTTAATCATAACAATATTGAAAGTGTTATTCTTGGCTCCACTTGGAATGCCTGGGTTACTTTTTAGTTCAACATGACCGTTTCAAATTCTCTGTAAATGCCTTTATGCGTCTGGCATACATGGCTGCATTTTTGTCACAACTCTAATAGCTAGAAATGGACTTCTATAAAACAGAAAGCAAGCCAAGACTCTGGTGAGCAGCTGAAAAGGATCTGCGGTGTGCACCCTGCTTGTCCTCTCACTTGGGGAAACATTAGGTTAAAAAAGCCTCTATATTTTTGATGGAATGTATTTGTTTGAGGAAGATTGGATGGGAACCTTTCATTTTATGACTATAGATATGTATAGCTATTCTTTTTTTTTTGCATTGCAATTATTCAATATGGAATGAAAAAGCAATTAATTACATTGTTATTTGCCTCCTAACTGCAGAGAGTATATTATCTAAAAACTGGGTCTCATGGTAATTAATTTTAGTTGCTTAGTATATTTATTGACAAATTAAACAGCTGTCTGTGTCTATACTGTGTTAGAACTGGAAACAGCAGAAAGTTTATTCAGAAAGATCACTGTTCAATCTACACATAAATATTGGATGATCATATGGCTGCCACATTGCTATTGATTTGGCTAAATGGATTAATCCCACACTGT